TTTTTTTTGCTACTTTTGAGTGCCAAAGTTTTGTTCCAGAATGATTTGCTTTTTCATTTCCTCTGAGAAAATGGTGCACAAGGGGTTTTTTACGGGATAAAAATCCGATTTCCGTGACCTGTTACATAGAGCTTCATTCTGAAAACGTCCTCTTTTCTATATATCTACGTTCGTCGTTTTTTTTTTGTCTGTCGTAAGCCGTGGACCTATGAATAGATGAGGAATGACGACTTTTGACATTGACGAAGGTTCAGCAGCCTGAGTCGTTATGACCGTGGGAGATTATTGGCAGTGCTGGGAGATAAAACTCTATAATTATAGTTCAGTCTGGTGAAAATTCTCGTCCATCAGTCCCCTTTTCATCCCGATGCTGTTGCTACAACCAGACAGTGCTTCTCATGCATCTTTTTTTGACTTTCTGTGCGTACAGTTGTTCGACCCTGGCTGTCCTATTCTTCTACTATGTGTTAGTTTTAATTATTTCTGGTAGTAGTAATAGCAGCTGGCAGCAATTACTCGAATTTAGCTAAGAATGTACCAACTGCTCAAACTTTTGCTCAATCCAAACAGCGTATGACCATTCTTTTACGCAGGTATGATGAGTCCCAGCGTTTTGTGAGGCTGGGTATCAAATGTAGTTTTTGCCGGATTCTTTACTTACATTGAAGGTTCTAAGTGTCCTTTTTCGTTCGTTTGATGTTTTACTACGATTAAAAATAATTGCTGCATTCTTTTCTCGCTGTGCCTTTCGCGAAAGTCATAAACTCAGACTTATTTTCAGTAACATGAAAACTTTTCATGGTTATTTTTCTGGTTTTTTTTTATTGCATCGTTTCATCGGAACCTCCCTATTTCACTTTTCCTAAACCATTGAGCTTGTTTTTTGCACAGTGGCAGTTAGATTGGAGCTGTTTTTCGGAATCTTCATTTTGTTTTCTGATTTGATTTTCGTTTCTTCGTGAATATTATGGTATGGCTTTCGAAGCTCCGCGAAGGTCACGGCCATCCTCGTGATTGAATTTTCGTAGGGTTTCTTTTTTTGGAAAGGAGATTGTTGGGATTTTTTTCACTTACTTATTTTTTGCTTCACTTTCTCCGATTTGCATGAGCAGGTGGAATGGATTATACTCCTTATGGCCTTCTAGGCTATGGGGCTCAGTGTTGGGAGGCAGCAACTGGGACAGAGGAGATGTCAGACTGATCGCTCCAGGAGTAATGCTAATGCTTCAGCCCTTTCATATCATGTGGTGGCGATCTATTTAACTTTAATCGGTGACGTAATTGTCTTCATTCCTGAAGGTGCCTCTTTCCCAGGCGACTCACGTTTGTTGTCAATCGTTTGATTGGAACTTTTTTCACCTTGTAGCATTATTTGATGAGTTGTTATTGACGATCGGTAGTCCACGTCAGATCTGGGAGGACAAAAGTACCGACTTGTACATCGGCTGGCCACCGCAAGTCATTGGGTAGGCCACAGGGGCACTCCATACTATCCATTTGTTTTTCGATCTCCGGATGAGTTTCTCTGCTCTGTAATGCACACCCATCAAGGTAGAGAGACCTATTTTGCTGTGAAAAAGTGTACTTTTGAACTTTCAGCAGCACTAGAAAACTCCATCACGTGAAGTACACGCTAGTTTAACATCAGTCGGGATGGCGCACACTATTGCATGGAACTTCACACTGTGAACTGTTGCAAAAACCTCTACTCATGAGATATCAAATTTAACTTCTAACGTTGACGTCCTCTTCACTTTTTCGTTTCTCTAGTTAACGCTCGGGCGATATTCCCGAGACAACTCGCGTAGATAGAGGTCGCGTCACAATCAGTTAAGCACATAGTTCCTTGATTGCTATTGACTATTACTAATTTCCAACTGTTTTTCTTCTTTTTTTCTTAGTTTCCTGCGTCCTGTTCCAGTCAATGAATCAATTATTCTTATTTATTATTATTGATATACTTTCTTCGCAATCGCTGCCACTTTTAACTCACAATAATAAGAGGCATTAAAATCAGTCGACGGTGTTGAACCTACGCTTGAACTTCATTATTCAGTGCTTATCATGTTGTGTTCGAGGTGGGTAAGATGCATTATGTCGTACTTGTGTTTACTGCTCGTTATCTACTTTGATCAGTCCTTACACCTCATTATCACTTGGTGTGATTCTTGATTTCTCCGCTCTCTTAGTTTTATCAGTTACCAGACTGATCGCTAGCAGCAGTGATTCAGGACGGTCTATGCCAAGGTGAAGCTTGGTAACCCTTCACGATCAAGTGTACTACAGTTTGCCTCAGCCATCGTGGCAGTCAATACGTTTATAAAGTCATTTCCCTAAAAAATTCTAAAAATGACACAAAAGCTTTATGACAGAAAAGACATAGTCGAAATGGGTGGTGCAAGGCAGTAAGGAGAGAATGATTCAAGAGAGGGAGGGAAAGAACGAAAATGTGAAATCTGTCGGGATGAAGGCGTTTCCTGTCTAAGTTCTGCGATTCCAATGAGAATTACATACATGATAAAGAGAAATAGCTGTACTTATTTAATGTTTTCCCAAGCTGTCCAGTACTTATGGGTCCAGAGCGTAGCTTTTTGTAATCCTTTTTCTTATTGAAAATATGGGCTGATGTTCATCGCATAATTGCAGATGAGAATTTTGCTGCTGGAAGGTCGCATCATTACCTAGAAGGCCTTCAGGGACAACTCTTTGTGTAGAGGTTGTTTTTGTTTACTAGAGAAGTTTTCGCAATAGCTCTTCTCATCTTCTTGCTCCCAGGACCCGCTAAGTCTTGCTGATTTTTCACTGATTTCCGACGAATCAATATTCGAGAGCTAAAGCTCATCCCTCTATTCTTAATCTTCTGACCGATTTTACGAGAGCTGAGCTCTTCTATAGTTGAACAGGACTTCTATCAGTTAGAGGGATATTGTAGATTTCTGGCCATACCTAAAAAGGTGACCGATTTCGTCATTCCATCTCCTGAATCTATTCCGTGAAATTGCCAACCGAAACTTCTGGACGCTATCTTATCACTTGTTTTCTGTTTTTACTTATTGCTGTCATCATTCTCTGTCGACTATTCTATCTCACAGTGGTTTTCGTCGTGGTATGAGAACTCGTAATTCAAATATTGATCACTTCTCTGTCACATTTGCTACCAGAAGATTTCCATTTTCAATTGAAATCTTCAGTTTTTTTTTTCAGATTTATGTGAAGCAAGTTTTTCCTGTGCCTTATCCACGAACCGATTGCCTTCGAATAACCCTGTGCCTTATTCGCTTTCATGTTTATTGTATGCTGTAGTATATTTTTATTCTCCTATGAATCCGATGAGTCCTCATTCCACATGTGATACGTCCTCGATAACCAGCGGACGGATGACGGCTAGCCAAAATGTCTGGGCAAATGTGTTCGTTGAGCGAATCTATCAGGTGAATGTCCGTTTTGATTATACTCGAGTTTTTCTTGTTCGATCCCTCCCTAACTGTGTAATCGTTTTACTTGAGACGATCTTGAGCCAGGTGTTGAGTCGAAAGGAATGCTTTATTTTAAAATGCAGATGCATTCCCTGGATTCCAGCTAGATGGGCAGTCGCCGCCATGACCGTTTATCGCTTTTGCATTATGTGCTTCATTTTCTTTAATGGTCCCGTAAAAGCAGCCCAAATTCCAGTGCATCAAGCAACCACCGCAGCTGTCTTGGAGAGCCACTGCGGGGATGTGAACCAGGTGTTACTTCTGGGTTAGCTGCTGACTCAAAATTGCATCTGAGGGGTCACTACGGCGAAACTAGGTCAACTCGGATGGCCCGAGAGAGACTACGGACCTTTGCCCACGTTAGGCCTGCACCATAAAGAGGAGTTGGAGGTGCAAACGCATTGCTTCTGCTCCTATGGATTGGTTGGTATTCTGACAACCCGTACGACTGCATTCATTTGGAAGTGTGCCGCTTGACTAGATCAGCTAGGATATTGCAGTGGATCTTGTAGAACAAAAGCATGTTGGCAAGCCCCTCGTAGCTTAGTAAAAAATTCTCTGTTGAAGGAGTAGGAGCAGTACCGTTAAGAGCGGTTATCATGCATCTGTATGCGAAGACTGGGCTAGGCCACAAAGTCTGCCGTTTCCTGGGATGAATTGTAGCCTAAGGGAAAGGGAGAAGGGTGCCGGAATACTAAATCAGACGGCGGATACTTTCGAAAATCTTTGTATCGATGCCGGACAAAATACACACCCCGCGGCAGTCCAACTGTGAAAAGGTTTTGAATACACGGCGCATCCCAATACCACTTGGTCAACATCACATGCCTTGTATTNGCCTGGTGTTGTCGTGGAGCAAGATGACTTGACCACCTCTATGAGGTCTTTTTAGCCGAATAGCCTCACTTACACTGTTCATCTGGGTAATGTAGACCTCCTTGGTGACAGTGGCGTTTCGTTCGAGCAGTTTCCCAGTGCACCATGCCTACCCAGTCCCACCAAACGCAGATCATGACCTTTTTTTGGGTGAAGATCTTGCTTGACTCTCGGCTTTGGCGCCTTTCCTGGAGCCACCCACACCTTGCAGTAGACACACCTAAGACACCTTCCCCGTACACATTGCATATGTCCCGAGCGGTTTCGGCTGCTTTTTTGACCTCGACGAGAAGCAAAGAAAAGCAGGTGTCGAAAATGCTAATTTTTTCTTCTTGGATATTCCATTTCTGAGCCCGAAAAAAGACAAACAATTACATTATCCTAAAAACGAATAAAACAGTTTTGTAGAGGAAAAAGAGCTCTTTCAAATGAATGTATACACTTTGCTAAAAAATAAAATAATTCGTTGTAAAATAACTCTAACGCAAAACTCTACGAACTTATGTTACAACCCAATATTTGGATCCATTTATAGGGCCTCAGAATAGAAGGGAAAAGGGAATAAAGCCCTAAAGTTTTTAACCGTCAGGAGAGGAGTTATAGTCCGGTCACAGAGGAAAACGTATCGAGGGACTGTCACAATCGTTGAGTCGGGATGTTTAGAGGGAAAGACCGTGTATTAAGACCGTGTGTGAACCGTCATGCCACCACCGTTATCCGTCCTCTACCAACCAATGTGGAATTCAGCACATATGTAGTAGCTGAAGGAGTAACACCATAAACCCTTCGGTCTCGCGTTCGGATGTCTGCGTGAGATTGTGGAGTTTGATTGATGTTACACTAATCGATGTCAGCGCTTAGTGAAACGACGATGATTGTGCGTATATGTTCGATAATGTAATAGGACACCCATCAGGGCTGCATAATGACGCAAAGGTGACGTTATTTACGGCCCATCTGATTGAAACAACTGTTTTCTTTGTCTGATAGTGAATAGTGCAAATACGAGAGCAGGTGCAATGTGGAACTTTGATGCTTTTCTGTTTCCCCATTGTTTCAATCAGTCATCAAGGAAAGGGGTCAATTAGTGATGAATGATGTCTCACTTTTTTTGCTGGGACCAGAGCTGCGAGTATTTTTCCTC